GTGTGTATATAAAAGTCACTCAAAGTTTTAGAAGTCATCAGACAGCACGGGCACAAACACGTGTGTGTGTGTGTGTGTGTGTGTGTGTGTGTGTGTGTGTATATATACACACTATAATTATTATCTAACATTTAATAAATAATATTTAACAATATTATTTAATTATTATTTAAAAATAGAAAAAAATATGAATATATTATTTAATATTCTTTAACTTTTTTATTTTTGTCTTATTGTTAATTTAATTTAATTTGGGGGCGCTGAGATTTCTTTAATGTTTTTAATGACTTATCTGCTCACCAAGGCTGCATTTATTGGATCAAAAACACAGTAAGAACAGTAATATTGTGAAATAGTATTTCAATTTAAAATAACTGTTTTCTATTGCAATATATTTTAAAATGTAATTTATTCTTGTGATCAAAGCTGAATTTTTAGCATCATTACTCCAGTCTTCAGTGTCACAGGATCCTTCAGAAATCATTCTAATATGCTGATTTTTGATTATTATAAATCTTGAAAACAATTGTGCTGCTTAATATTTTTGTGGAAGTTTTTTTCAGGATCCTTTAAATAGAAAGTTTAAAAGAACAGCATTTATTTGAAATATAATTTTTTGTAACATTGTAAATGTCTTTACTGTTACTTTTAAATAATTTAATACATTTTTGCTAAATAAAACTATTATTTCTTTCAAAAAAAAAAAAAAACCTTAGCCCCCAAACTTTCAAACTGAAGTGTATACAGTACTATACACGGTAATATTTGATTTGATGTTCACTTTAATATACAAAATATATTTGCACGAAAATTACATACCATTATTGCACTAATATATACAGTTAAGCAAAACAAACACATTTTGTCATGCCAGTGAAGTACATTATACTGAAACTGAATTGAGGGATAGAGGGTCATCGCCCTGTGTGGATCTCTGGGGTTAAGTGACCAGAGCTAATCATTACCTCTAAATGAGCACATGTTCTCATCAGCTGCTTTACGGGATCACATATCAGAGCTACATTCTTTCACACCCCTCCTCCAGCACATCCTCCCCCGTATCTCTCTCTCCATCTCTCCAGGAAGTCGTCTTCAAACTCCTCCTTCTCTTCCTGCTGGATGGACAGAGTCCTAACAGTTTGGACCACGGCGTCTTTGTGAAAGTCGAGCTGAGTGCATGTGTTATTCATGCCTGACATTTACTCCAAACGCTTCGCAGCTTGTCGACAGCTCACAACGAGGGAGATCTAAACATCACACGGGACGAACTCCAGCCTCTCACGATTCTGAGTCTTTGATAATTGTCGTGCTAATTTAACACTAGTAATTAAACTCACACTCCGATGAACCTCGATCGACTTTTCTGGAGCTTCACCAAAGAAAATCACCAATGTCATTTCTTTATTATTCTTTATTTGTATCTCCTAGACAATGAGAGTACGTGGAGGTTTTACCTTCTTATTTTTAACTTGAGAAAAAGATCCAAAAGATCTCAAAAGTGTCTCAAACTGGGCTCTGATACCAAAGTATGACATCAAATCTGGAGATCTCAATATGAACTCAAATATTGCTCACTGCATGATCTGAGTAAGTGAATCATTAAATGATTCACATTCATTTTATAGCTCTATACTCCTACCGTAAAGCAGCTACTGACTCATTTGTGACTATTCTTATTTTTCTTAAAGGAGACATATCATGCCCCTTTTTACAATATGTAATATAAGTCTCTGGTGTCCCCAGAATGTGTCTGTGA